AGACTTAGCTCCTTCGGACTATTACTTGTTCCGGTCGATGCAGTACGGCTTGGTGGATACACACTTCAGAAATTACGAGGATGTGCGAAAATGGATCGACGAATGGATTGCATCAAAAGACCAATCGTTCTATCGTCGCGGAATCTACGCGTTGCCCGAAAGATGGGAAAAATGTACAGTTAGCGAGGGAAAATACTTCGATTAATGTATTTTTTGCTTTTGATGTCGAAATAAATGAGTTTTTTAAACAAAAAAACCGCAGGAACTAAGTTTACCACCTAATAATATTACTTACTCTTCACCTAATTTTTTAAAAATTCAGATTTAGAAAAGAAAATGTCACAGTTGAGATTAACCATTGCTTGTAAGGGAATATCTTTAGAAATAGTAGTTTAAATTATTAGACAAAGATTCTCGATTTGAGCAGCAAGAATAAATATATTACCTGACAAGTATCTTTTCCCAATTCCCCTGCACATATTTGCCATTTATCAACAATGCCTAATGCAAGTTGGGCGTTATCTCCATCGAAAAAGCTTTCATTGCAAGACGCGTGAGAAACCAAGCTGAGTGTTACTTTCAGTAGATTGTCTGAGCCCTCTTCTTCGGCTAGAAAACAAAAGACATACAGTGTAAAATGACTAAAACTATAATACAAATTATAAAATATTATATCTCTTCACTCTTTGATCGTCGATCAAACAATGTGTATGTAAATTTTATGTATATATTTAGACTCTTATTCTAAATTTTATATTAACGATAAAGGTGTTTCCATATATAATTTATAAGCTTTCTGATTGGCTTATAAGCACATTTAGAAGCAGTTTTATCAAGGGCGTTCAGAATAAAGATCTTAGTTTTAATTAACAGTTTTCAATTAACAGTTTTAACAGTTTTCTTTTGATGCAGTTTGAAACGCAGCTGATGATCCAAAGGGAGAGAGGGACAACTTAACTTCTGAGAGCACAGAAGGAGGAGGGCGTACTAGATAGCGGCGAGACGCCATGAGATCGGACTCTGCGTCTTCTTTCGTTCCGCAGAGAGAAAAATATCGAAAACGTGGTTTGCTAGAATCGAACCCGAACCTTTTACTTGCCGGGCAACGGTTCTAAACCACTGAGTTACTTGACGTTCCGCACTCACAATACACTCCTTTTCCCAGATGACGTTCAAAGATGCTGTTTGGAAGCGACATTTCTGGTGTTATCCTAAGCACACAGCGACTACAGAAAAAAACTATGGTGCCGTATCAGTGTACCGCTGAGTCTCTCAAAGTCAACCCTGTTTAAAAAGGCCGATATAAAATGGTAAAATATTATAAATTTCTAGAAAAATTGTATTGTAATCTATCTGGCCTATCTGACGCAGTTCTTTTAACGAAAGAACGTTTATCGTAAGGAATATAATTCTACTGTAGATATTCCTTATGTGAACAAAACAAAAAAAATGTCTTGTTTTGTATAATAACTTTCAACATTTATAATGCATGATTTTACGAATACAAAAATAAATGTATACAAGTTCATTAATTTTTTATGATACACATATTACATGAATGCTATAGTTATTATGGTATAGTTATTTAATCATATGGAATAATGTTCTATACAACTACGGTCGTACTTTGATACCTATGTAAATCAATCCGAACATCACGATATCAATCCGAACATCTATCGTTTCTTCTACGAGTTTAACAATACACATTTTGTATCTAAAATATCTTAAAATTTTGTACCTTGATACTTACGTAAATAAATCGCAATTTTACGATAAAGTCAATTATTTCTTATATGACTTTAACAATACACATTTTATCTCTTCAATTAAAATCCTCGCTTTCGCGTAATAATCACATCATATAAGAATCGATCTATAGAGTTCCAATCGTCTTTTGTCGGGACAATACTACGCTGGTTCTATACCGGCTCTCCGGAACGATAATACAAAATGTTCCAAAATTGTGGAAACGGTCGAATATTTCGAAAAAAAGCATTTTTTAGCAAAACGTTCCAGACAAAAATTATAGGGTTTTAGAAGATCTATTTAATGGCCATATCAGTATTTTAACTTTGGGTGGCGTCAAGGTCACATCGACTAGGCGCCGCATCCCGACAACCCTGCGACTCCTCCTGGTCACGTCCATGCATCACGGCGTGACCGGCTGAGAAGGGTTCCCCCGTGTGGGCAGCTGCGCATGGGGAGTATCAGGGGTCTGCGTGGCATTTGCCAGGACCCCTACAGCGGCGGTCCGACCAACGTCGGACCTGCGCACATATCGTAAACTGGGGTCGTTATGTCATGTCTATGACAATCTCCGGGGGAGCGAGGGTCTTGGCTTAACCGCCTGGGCTGCGAGGATGGAGACTTCTATAAAAAAACTCTCCCAATCCTAAGCTTCCGGACCGCGGCGAGGGGATGGATGGCCGGCGGGTTAGTCGGTCGCGAGCGGTCCTCCTCGGGGCATCAGGCGCACTCCGAGTGTATTATCCAGAACCCAGGTGTGGAGGGTCAACCTGG